CTGCTAGAAACACCCAAAAGTGGCAGGAAGAAAATGGTATCCAGAAGTTGCCCTGGCTGAGCCAATCTCCTGACATTAACCCCATCGCAGACCTCTGGGCCATACTCGACCAGCAAGTCAAGAAACAATAACAAAAAAAAAAACTTCGAAGAGCAATCTACTCCAAGTTTTGAAGCAAGAGTGGATGAAAATCCTACAATCTAAAATTGATAAGATGATTCTCACGATGCCCCAAAGGATCAATGAACTCCACGAAGCGAAAGGAAGATCTACTATTTCTTAATATGACTGAAAAATTTCATTTTTTCTGAAAAGGTGGTGTCTATTTACTTGTGACCACACTGTGTATACTTTTATTGAATGGATAATAGCAAACGATTCTTAGTGCATTCAATCATATAAAATGTATAGTAAGCAATTTATAAAGTTCAGTGTTATTTGGCCAGAATATTTATTGGATGCCAATGAATATATATCATGATTACCTAAGGACTAAATCCTGGTGAAAATGAAATAGATATAAGTACACAGGGCGTGTCATTAATACTTGCCCATCTGCTTTGGGCTGATAAATTTTGTTTTGGGGCAATTATATATTAAGCATTAAGAGAAAAATTATTAATAACATGAAGACTTACACTTGCCATAATGTCCATATTAGAGACAAGTACTTGCTGTAGCCTTTATATCTCCAAACACTGGCTATGCTAGAGTAGCAAGAGCTTCATGATAATAAAGCTACAGCAAATTCTGATCACTAAGATAACAGATTTCTGCAGGTCCTAAAAACTTTATATCCAGCTTTGATACACAGAAAATAGCTCCATCAACAGTCATATTGACACTATGTTTATCAACTGTTTCCACAGTATTGTGTGTTTACTGTAAAAAAATAAGCATTTTCAAAACACTGGACAGTTATAATAATATTACTCATTTACATAGTCACTTATTCTGACTGACTTTGTACCTAAATTACAAACATAATAAAACAGCACAAGATAGAAAATGTCAGTACTATCTGTCTAAACATGAGCTTAATGCAACATAGCTATGGAACTGTTCCCATACTCCATGACCTTTGAACTCAGGGCTACAGTTAGCTGACAGAAACAGTTGTCAGAGCTGAATGCACAAAATACTGTGCATGGCAGTTTATGACTCACCAAATTTACACCTTGCAGACTGGCAAGGCTGGTCACCTTGGCATGCATATTTAACAAGTTTCATGATGTCATCAGGGGCCATACAAACACCCTCTGGTGTCATGGTAGGAATCAGCAATTTAGGCCCAACATCTTTTAGCCACCCAAACTAAAGGATCCAGTGGAGGTGGATTATCCTCAGCAGCATACCCACATATAGCAACCTGGTGATGAGCCTGTTTTACATTCTCTGTAAATGCCTCATTTGTTGGAGCAAATGAGCTGAGTTTTGGAGTTTATGTTAGACCCTTTCCAGTTCTAAGGGCCTAAGCTTTCTTTCGAACATCAAAGATAGCTAAACAGTTCTTTATTCCATAAGCAGCAACGATGAATGCTGCTGCCTGAAAGATAACAACAGCAAAGGGCAGTCCAATCACTCAAAGATGAAAGAGAGTAACTTTCCTGAAAGATTTTCACTGCATAAACCATACTGTATGAATGTTGTTTCAATATAAATGTCATTCCAGATTCCATTCCATGATCCTGGGACATGATGCATGACGTTGTTCCTTCATGAATGATTGCAGGACATCCTCTAGGAACTGCTTCATGGATCTCAAGTAGTGCATTCTATACTGTGCATAGTTGACATGACCACTAGCAAAGAAGTATGGCATCATAAGTCTCACAGCTGTGATGTGTAAGGGCCAACAACCCTTTTTTTCAGCACAAACAAGTATCATCATAATAAACTCAAGTTTGATAAAACAATTTGCCAACAACCTTGCTGTTCTACTTCTGTAGACAAAGTCATCAAGAAGTCCTGTCAAATCACTGTAACACTGAAGCTCATTTTCTGAAGTCATCATCTTAAGAATAACTTTAGCCACTAAATGCAAAGCACAAACTTTTTGAGGGAAATACCAGATACATCACTCATCAGTGTTGCTATAAGAGTTTCAAAGTGACCATCAATATCTTCATTTTCTTTATCATTTCATAATTTAGAAGCATAGTAGACAGAG